TCTGGAGAGAAGCCAGGGTATCAGCTTGTTCCCCCCTCCCGCCCCCCTCTGTGTACAGCAGAGCCCCGAGAGGCTCTTCCTCTCCGCAGACCTGAGGGTCTCCTGGGGTTCAGGGAGAGTCGGACTGGGGGTCTCTGCGGGGTGACCCGAGACCCGGAGGAGCCCGTCCGTGGGGAGTCTGCTTGGTCTCTGGCTCCAGGTGCTCCAGGAAGCTCTCCGGCTGATTTCCCGTCAGGAACGTTCTGGGGGCCAGAAGAGGCTGGTGTTCCCGGACGGCGCAGATAAGGCGGCGTGGTGACCTTCGAGCTCGGTCCCGCCCTCGGCCGGGCCTATAAAGCGGGCCGGGCCGGACTGGGGCTCAAGCGACTCGGGACGAGAGAGAGAGAGAGAGAGAGAGAGAAGACTGCGACGCTCTGCCATGATGGGTGAGTCTCTCTGTGTGGAGTCTGCATGTTCTCCCCCACTTCTGGCACGGGCCTCTGGGAGAACTGGCCCTTGTGTGTCGCTGCCTGAGTGTCTGTGTGTGTATCAGTGTGTGAGCGTCTCTGTGTGTGAGTGTGTGTGTGTCTCTGTGTGTATCAGTGAGTGTCTGTCTGTATATTATCTGTGTGTGTGTCTCTCTGTCTGTGTATATCAGTGTGTGAGTGTCTGTGTGTGTCTCTGTGTATATCAGTGTGTGAGTGTGTGTGTCTGTGTGTATCGTTGAGTGAGTGTGTGTGTCTCTGTCTGTGTATATCAGTGTGTGAGTGAGTGTGTGTCTCTGTGTATATTAGTGTGTGTGTCTCTGTGTATATCAGTGTGTGAGCGTCTCTGTGTGTGAGTGTGTGTGTGTCTCTGTGTGTATCAGTAAGTGAGTGTGTGTGTCTCTGTCTGTGTATATCAGTGAGTGTCTGTGTGTCTGTCTGTTTATTATCTGTGTGTGTGTCACTCTGGCTGTATATTATCAGTGTTTGTGTGTGTGTGTTCCTGGCTGTACTTTATCAGTGTGTGTGTCTGTGTCTCTATCTGTGTATATCAGTGTGTGTGTCTGTCTGTGTATATCAGTGTGTGAGTGTCTGTCTCTGTCTGTGTATATCAGTGTGTGAGTGTCACTCCGTTAATCACTCCTCCCCGGCTGTGTGCTCAGGGTTCGATTTCCCTGCTGTGTCCGAGCTCTTTCCCCCTGAAGTCCGGCCTCTGCCCCACGAGCAGGAGCTGCTGCCTCACCCCCCCCCCCCCTCTCCTAGATACCGTGAGGACCCTGCTGTTGGCCGCGGCGTGCCTGACCGCGCTGGCGACCTCTGAACCCCCGGCGCCGGCCGAGCCCGACATCGGGAACGCCCAGCAGCTCAACGTCTCCCTGGCAAGCGTGCTGAACCTGAGCGCGGTGAACTCGAGAAGTAAGTGGGTTGCCGATTGCTTTGGCCTAGAAATGCTGGCCCCTCCTCCCCCCGCAGGCGAGACCAGCCGCGCCCCGAGCTGCCGATCGCCTCCTCCTGAGCGCGCCTCCGCAGGCGAGACCGGCCGCCCCCCGAGCTGCCGATCGCCTCCTCCTGAGCGCGCCTCC